TTACTAATGTAATGTGTACTCTCACTGTTGTCACCTGCCACCCTTTCATGAAGTGTCACTTGAGATAGAAAATAATGCATTGGGAATGTAACCACCGGTAGTAGTACTTTTAAAGGTGGAAATATGTATATGGTCAGCAATCTTAAGTTTGTGTGAACAACAATATATTTAGAATTTGACACTGTGTAGTTTGCTCAGTAAACTTATCGTAAAATCTGTATTAGAAGCCGCATCCCTAATAGAAGCCACACACATTCTTTTTGAACAATTGAAAACCAAAAATTCATCATTTCTCATATGTGTGATACTCTAATAGAAGGCGCATCCCCTCTGTTGTATTGTACCATTTTAATAGAAGCTGTGGCATTTAATACAGAGTTTACAGTACATGTACTTATACTAATAGTTGTCAGCTATGTTACAAATTTCACTGTAATTTGTATTTTCTTACTTTCTATCTAGGTGCTGTATTTTATTATTACTATTACAAGAGGACAGCTTATCGTCTGGGTGACCCTCGTTTCTATCGAGACTCAGTCTGGCTACGAAAGCAGTTTGAACGAAGGCGGTAGTCATTATTATCATTTTCATGTTTTTATCTTTCTCGTCCAGTGTTCTTTTATAAACCGTCCTGACTGCTGGGTTTGGTTATGTGTGTTTTTACATGTAAATAATAGTCCTCAACATTTCACATAACTTGTGCTAAGAATTACTTTGCACAATATTTGTTGCCATTCAGTTTTGTATTTACTGCTTAACTGAATATATATATCAATCTAAACTTATTTGAAATCCACCAACAAATGTATGCTCTATTTTTCCATGATAGGCAGTGAATTATTTTATACTATACAGTCCATTATTTAAACCACAGTTTTTATTGTGTCTAATTTAGAACAATTCCAAGTTCAAAGAATTTCCAAATTGATTTGTAGGTTCTGGGCTTAATTCAGGTCACTAAAATACATGGCGTCCATATTTTGTTGAAGTCTACATTTGAGGGTATGTAATTGTTTTACTTTGAAGTTGCATTCACACTTTGTTTTTATATACAGAACACCTCCCACTAATTACTGTTATCACTATAAACAATGATAAAATCAGTTGGTATGACAACAAATCGCAAAACCTTGTACCCAGTGAAGCCAGCTTGCACATGGTAGAAACAAGGTCATAGTGTTTTATCACAATAAAACTTATCTTTAAATATTGTTATCACTTGAGGCCACTTTATTTTGGAAAGATTTCAGAATTTTGTTGGATATTATTTTTTATAAACTATTTTATACACAACTCAACCCTTTATGGATGTGTTCAGTGAGTGGTTTTCTGCAGATTATACAAAGTGAGAATGCTGGCTTAGAAGTAACTTTAGATGAACAGGGATTGTCAACTCACTTAACCCAGTATAACAGGGTAAATTATATTCTTAATTTTAATTCAATTTATTGTTTTTTATTATTCAGTTGAATCATATATTATTAACTTTGTACATGTACAGTATGGTGATATTTTCAATCAGATTTTTTTTATATTTTTGTAAAAAGTGATGATCTCACATTTATTAAATAAATGTTATAATTTGTCTTGGAGTAATTTTAGTGTACAATGCAGAAATTACAATTATCTTAAGTACACTTCATTCCATTTGTAGATTAGACTAAGTACCAGAAATATCCTACTGTTGGTTGCTGACCTTCAGTGCAAAATACTGCTTCTCCTCTCCAGTATTGGGATAACATGTCACATGTAATCATGACAGTTTGTATTATTAGTTGTCTTTGCAATTGTATTGTTCCACCTCTTTTTGCAGATCACATAATGGCTGTTGCATCAGATTCATAATTATAATCCTGAACACTCATAAAATAAATTGGAAGATAACAACATGTTTGGTATGGTTGCCGGAGTAAACTCCAAAATACATATATTTTAGTGCTAACCCTGTACCCCATGGCAATACCAGAATGGGCAACATTAACATTTGATCGTTGTTTGCCCACTCAAACTCCATCACGAATCCTGCTAATTATGACACTATACAAATGTAGTGAAAAAAAACAAGGTGAATGTGCTGTAAATTGAACCAGAAGCTAACTTTATCTGTAGAAATTATGCTTCTAATTTGGCATAGGTTTATTTCTTGTGTATGAGGAGTGGATGTTACTGCTAGTATAAACATGCATATTGCGTGTGTTCTGTTGAGCGTGTCCATCCTATTTTGTCATAGCAAGATACATGCATGTGATTGAGTGGGAAGCCAAATGTAAATAATGCCCACTCTGACAACTTCATGGGTTTAGGGCTATTTTCATGGATGTGCTTATAAAAATGCCTGCACATAGTGTATTATAAATTGTTTACATGTAACATTATGTAATCACAACTCAGTACTCTAGACCCCCATCCATTAGTACTCCAGACCCCCCACCCCCAAATAATTGTATCCTGAATAAATTAGTTCCATAATAGTTTCAGTTTGATATATCAAGTATTCAAATATTTATTTTTTTTACCTAAAGCAAACATACAGTAATAATCATAATAATATTGTTTCTCCTGCAAACCTAAGCTTCTACGTCCTGTGCATGAAAATTACCACATGTTATATTTATCTGCCAGCTTGGGTGTTTCAGTAATGTATTTCTATGCTAGTCTACTTACTTGGATCTAAAGTATCAGAGCAGTACCAGCTTTATTAATGAATTCCCACTGGCCCTTCTTGCCAAAGCTTAATTTTGGGGATAGTTTGTCACACTTGATTGATAATATAATATGTGTCAACAATTCTCAGGAGTTCTAATGACTCATTTGATGTGTGGAATACTTGGTCTGAATTTATGTTGAAAGACTTGGGAGCTATCATGTAAATTTGGGTCTATTCAATCAGAGCATATGTTTAAAAATGATTTGTCATTTAAAACGTACTTGCCAGAATAAAGTACACCAAATTTGTATAAATAATTTAGTCATATCATATTTGTATTAACAAAATGAGTTTTGTTTGTCTTGTTGACGACTTGATCTGTTACCAATGAGAATGGTGACACATAACTAGGTACATTGTACTATATTTCCTTCCTCAAACTAATACTTGTTTTTTAAAATGATCCTCTTGGTCATTTACATAATCACCATAACTAATAGAGACAATGTGTTCTTTTATGGATTTCACATGACGAGATATTGTGTCAAAATGCTGAGTCAAAACCTGGCATGTAATCCCCTGATCTATTTTTTTTTTAAAGAAATGCTGCAAGGGAATTTGTATTTGCTCTACTGTAAAATACTTTATTTCAGCTGGAATTAATTTTCACTGAAAAGGCATTTTTGCTGTTTTGTATGTTTATTTTCACTGATGTTTGATGAGTTGAATGTAAAACATTGGGAAAATGTACTTGATTTTTATTGTCACTGACTTGTCCCTTCAGCAAAAATAAATTCCGAATGACAATAAATTTAATTACAGTGTATTAAAACTTGCCCTGAAATGTAATAATCCCTGAAGTGCCAATTTCAAAGTTCCAAAGATTTAGAATTGCAAATTTTACTGCATGTACATTTGTGCTTTGATAAAATAACTGTGCCTGTATATTGTATACATATATGACAAAATACTCACCACATATTCCCATATTATAATAACTGACTACACAGGTATTTGATTATTTATTTTGAAGGTTATATTATTTATTTGTCGTGTTGTCCAATTTTATCAAACCTATGATTATTGAGAAACATGTACCTTTGACTTGTAAATAAATGACATCAATTAATTTTGATTATGCTGTTTACTTTCCTAAATTATGCCACTTTTATTCATGTGACCTATTTTCTTTGCCATGTTTTTTTACCCCTATGTGCGAAACACACAATGGGAGTCTTTGTGAGTCTCTCATATGTATGTATGTATGTGTGTGTGTGTTTACTCCACTGATATCTTAGGAACTAATTATCAGACCTAATGAAACTTAGTACATGTACATAGATTTTTGATAATCTGTCGATTTGATTAGTGTTTGGCTGCAATTCATGCATAATTATTACCTAATTTTT